CTTCTAACCAGTTTTGTAATAATAAAGATATGTTTTAGTAAAAATCATTAAGAAGGTTTTGGGGTAATCATTATATCATGGACTTAGTCTGCTTCCTGACCATAGCATCTTGGGCAGTTTTACATGGGTTCGTTAATTGTATAGCTATATACATCAACTACCTGTTCATTGCTAGATGAAAGAAAATCCAGAGTGATTTTAAAAAACAAAACAAAATCTTCTGATTGTGGTACTAGTAATTTGGACAATAGAGCATATTTTTACACATAGTTTCTTAATCCTTACAGACTTGTAAGGGCTCAGAAGACTATTCTGGCTACATCTGTTTGTGAGCTGAGGAAACATCTCAAGTGCTTATGTGTGTATCGTTCCTCCAACTTTCATTTTATTCTAAATGTTTGCAGATCCTTTAAGTAGGATGACTTTCTTTTCACCATTGCAGAGCAGTTCTCTTTTATTGTCCCATCTTGTTGGTGCATAACCAGTGATTATCCAGCCCTAGGTACCTGTTTTGTCTACTAGTTCTCATTCTGTTTCCTCTGGAGAACATTTCACAAGATCAGCAGAGAAGTAGGTAATGATAACCATGCGCAATGTATGCTTTTGAAAAGGGGGACTTTGAGGGCTTTTCCTCAGAGGGAGACACGCAAAATGCCAAATGCAGTTGATTGCTCCATTGGCCACATGACCCCATCTTTACTCATTCTCACCCGTCTAGGTCAATGACCAACAAATGTCCCAAGTATTTTAAGTGAGGGATTTGGTGCAATCTGCATCCCCATTAGAGCTCAAAGTATTTCCCAAACTAAGGCAGACTTCTGATGACTTCCACAGCAACCAAATTAAACCTTAGTTTTCCATATACTAGCTGTGTGAACAGATTGTTTTCTGCTTTCTTTTCCCTTTCTACCAGCAGTGTTACTTATGAATTTCACCCTCACTAAGTTTGCAATATATCCTTTTCCTGAAAACCTATTGAAATAAGCAACCTGATCTAGTGGAAGGTGTCCCTGCCCATGGCAGAGGGTATGGAACTAGATGATCTTTTAAGGTTCCATCCAACCCAAACGATTCTATGATTCTATAAACCCTTGGTTCCTCAGAGACCAAAATACATGTAAGCTGCAGAGTGTGCTGAAGGAAGGGACAGGGAAAAAGAGAAGCAGACATTTGTGGTTAGAGATCTTGAAGCACCCATGAGCATTAGGCTGGCTGAGCAGCTGAAGCCAGCATGCTTTGCTGAAGAGGGTGTTGGACTTTGCTAGCACTCACAAGGCACTTACTAGGAAGAAAACTACATGAGTTTATGCTTGAGTAGTCAACAGTAACTAAGCTGTGAGACTGGGCAGAGACTTTATTTCACTAAACATCACAAACTATGCAAGCTACAAAATCATTAGCATTTCTGTTCATTTCTTCATGTACAGCAAAGCCTTTATTATTGGGTTCTACTACATCCTAACATCGTGTGTCATTAGCAATGACAACTGACTATTAAGCTCGTTACTCTTTACTTTTTATGTGTTGCTTGGCGTAGGAACGCCTAGTCCCCAACAAGAATAGCTGCTTTACAGCTGTAGGAAGGTTAATGAGAAAGAGAGCACTGCAAGACCACAGAAAATCCTATAAGGGGATGGTCACATTACTATCAGAATAAGAAGCGATCATTCAACTCTATCAGTAGTTTGGTCTCAGCACATTGACCAATTTTTAAGCCAGACAGGTCTGTCCTGTAGCACCCACTTTCCAACCTGTCTCTCTGTACAGTAGGTCATTGCTCCAGTTCACAGAAATTGTATTCATCGTATTGTAGAACAAGCTCAGACATTTGTGTGCAAATTGAATCTAAGCAAATAAACACCAACAGAAAGCACATAACTGTATATTCCACAGAACAGATCCAGTCTACACTGCAGTCGGTGGACTGTGTCTGGGAGAAGACTGAATGGTTTTGTCCTGAGACTATGTTAGATAGTCAGATATGTTTATAAAGAGCATATAAGAGGTGAACAAGTGAGGGAAGATAATGGCTCATTCTAGAAAGGTGTCATGACAGTGCTCTGAGTTCACTGAGGCAATAAAATCGTTAAGCTTCTTCTGTGAGAACTGCACATAAATATTCACTTCTTCAACACGTGTAGAATTTAATGCTTGCAGGGTTTCTTTGGTGTGAAATGCTGTGGGACAGGCAACAGGCTAACATGTCAGTCCTGTCTAGACACAGATGCATCTACAGAAATCCTCCTTTTCCCTCTGCAACCTCTCTTCATCTGTGTCTCGGGATGGATGATTATTCCTGTTTAATTTGATCTCTCTCCATTGCAACTTGTTACCTTGTACCTCCTAGACAGAACAAGTACTGATGTTAACAATAAAATTCATTGGGAATGGAAAAAAGTTAAGGAGGTTCAGTGGGAGCCAAATGATTTAATTTTGTCTTTGTCCAATTGTCCTGTTGTCTGTTCCCACCACTGCTGAAAACTCACAATGCCCTGAGAATGTCTGAAGTAATATGAAATTACTATAGCAATACCACAGCGTATTCTCTCAGGTGACAAGAGGGTAATAATATCCCATGTTAAAGACACCACATTCGATTACCTGATCTCACCACAACTGGGGTAATACGTATTGTTGTAATCTATAAATCGGTATGAAGGGCTACCTAATCTGTGCTGGGGCAAACAAAGCATTATTCTGGTCTTATATGAGATCCTTTACTACTATGACTTGGAAAAAAGATCCTTTTTTTACCATCCTTGTAAGCTTTAAAAATGACACTAGGACTAGGAAAAAAAAAAAAAAATGCAAGCAAACAACAAGTCTACTAATGATAACTTCATCTCCGCATGTAGGGCCAAAGCTCGAAGCCGAGAAGGAGGTCTGGAGAATAATGACTCTAAGAAAGCCTTGGGCACACTTTATAAACTCCTGACCCTGAACTCCCAGTTTTCTGACTCATATTACCTTTCTGTTTGGCACTGCTGTTTCTACATCCTATGTTCAGTCCCAACATCCGAATTTCACAGCAGATGTTGAAAAATTAGAGGGGACCACTGAAGTGATTAAAGGATGGAAAAGCTTACAGTGGAACAGGTTGAGGTCCTAGAAGTATTCACTGTAGTGTAGGTTTTTCCATGAGAGGGAATAGCCTATAGAGCTCTGTCTACCACAATTATCAGAGACTGGGCTAAGGAAGGATTTGTCTCCAGCTACCTACACAAGGAACAGAAATTTGCCACCCAGGGGAACTTCACACTAACCATCAAAAGGCAACAAAAGCAGGTGGCTGAATGTTGAAGCTAGACCACATCAGACTAAAAGTTAGATAAAATATTTTTAGAGGAATAGTATTTATTGCTGGGGCACTTTAAAACGTTCTGGTGAATTTCCCATCGGTGGACTTCTGAACTTCTTTTTTTCAAGACTGGAAGTTTTCTAGAAGATAAACCAAACCCTACTTCAAGCCACCTAATTAAACTCTGAAAAGTTCTGGGAAGTCCTATGTTGTTATCACAACAATCACTTCTGTTTTTAAAAACTGCAAGGTCCAGGAATTGAACTGTCATTAATTGTGATATTTGTTGGCGAAACACCTTAATCGTGTTATTGTTCTAGCTTTAGTTGCAACTGTTTTCTTTGGTTTCTGCTTTTGCACTAAAAATAAAACTGCCATATTTTCTAGCTGTAGTATTTTCTACAGTGCAAAATATATATCAGAAAACTGGCTTAAATTCCTACCCCCAAAGTTGCTATCAAAACAAAACTTAAAGGAGTGCATTTTTTTATTCCACATTTATTTTCACAAATTACAGGAAATACTGGTGCAAGATAGGTATATTTAACACAGTGCTATATGACATAAATACTAAAAAAATCACTACATTAAATTTTTACCTCAAGGATCATTTCTGTCATTATGTCCTATTCCTAAAGAATAGGAAAAAAAGGATAGTTGGATGACTCTAGAAGCAAAGGTGACGTATGATATTTTTAGACTAAGTAAGCCAAAACCACATTACTGATAAAATTCAATAACTTTATAACCATATACAAAGGAGTACGTGCCTAACGTCTCATGTAGTGAAACACAGACATTTATCACACATATTTTACAAAATAAACATAGATTTTGAGCAACATTGTCATTACACTCAGTTCTACCATTACTTAAACAGCTGTGTCTATACCTTAAGGGGCCAATTCTGGTTCTATTCAAATAAAATTAACATTGGAAGAGAAACAAATTAAACAGGTGAACACACTGCAGGCCTCTACTCACACTGTATTTACCTACCCAGTGCTTAAGCTGGTTTTTGTGCAGTGCTTCAGTTTAAAAGGGACTAAGATCGGCAGAACCCCCCTCAGTACGGGAACTGCCAAAAAATAGCCTTGAGGATAACACCAAGCCAAATTATAAATATACTTTAGGATTTTTTGTTATCAACACAATCACCATCAACATCAACATCCTCAATCACTAAAAGCAACAGAAACACTGTCATCATAAAGCGTCTCCCAGTTCTGGAACACCAGAACTCTCAATGGTACTGAAAACGTCCACTTTCTGCCCCTTGCCTTACTGAACAGATGACCACTCTGAGGAGAAACGCAGCAGATTTAGGACCCAGAATATTGTTAAATTCATCATAATAAAAAGGATCCTCAGGAAACTTTTAAGTAATCCTGACGAAGCCACTGACTCCATTCAAAGTCAATGACATTCTGGGTAAGTAAAGGCAGAACTGTCCCCAGTTGAACATAAACACAACAGAAATATTTAAACAAAAGTAAGATACAAGTTCAAAATAGGAAAACAGGAGTCTTTATTGTAACGTTAAAAATCCTTTTGATCAAATGAGCTTAGCTGCTGTTACAAAGTGCAAAGGGAGGGGCTCGGTAGAGTTGGGCATGAGTCCAGTAGACACTTCTTCTCTTTTTGTTTTCACTGGTGTTAGTTTAAAGGAAGTATATTAAAAAAAATACCCCAAACACCTTACCTCATTTAGCTGCAGATTCTGGAGTGGAAATCCTTAACTGAGGCAATGGGAAAACTGTCTACAGAACAGTAGGTTGGGTAAACACAGGTACTAGGTTATGTCTCCTAAAGACTCCCAGGAGCGAAGATAAATGGATGTGATATTAATTTTAAAACATTTTTCTGAACACTCAGGCAGCCAATAGCGAAATTCCTTAGGTCACTTCCTGTTCGTTTGATTGGGTCTACAATGACAACAATCAAGATGAGGTTGGGAGCATTTGCATAAGGCCAGCTCAGTCCTCACTATTCAAAGAGAACAGGTCTAACCGGGTTACACGCATGACTCCAGAACAAAAGAAAAACCTGGTAATGGATGAGGGATTGATTTCTTTGTAGTTGTTTTTTTAAGACCATCCCTTTTTTAAAATGGAGGTTATTTCAGGTAGATAGAGAGATTATAATTAGAATGAGGAGAAGTCAAAAGGACAAAAGTCCTAAATTACAATTAGTCTGGAAATAACATTAAGAGATGCATGGTATGGAATAACACTGTGCTGGCAGGGAGGTGGACTGTGTGAGCCAGTATCATGGGTTCCATACTTTCTTTTCACACCTTGAGCATCCTGCAAAATGCATGAATCTGCAGAAAGGTGAGTCTCTTGGTCTTCCAGCTTCTCTGGGTGTCTGAGAGAAAGTAAAAACAAAATGAGGAAAAGATTGTCACTGTATGTGTATATGGGGTTGAGTATGAAAGCTCAGCTACATACAGGTCAGCAGGGCAGAAAATCAGCAGAGGAGTGCTCAGCTTTACATTTCTCTACTTTTAATGTTTCTCATTCTGAAGGTTAAGATCAGCAGGGAAAAGCTAAAACTTCTCTTGGGGCACCTGCTCCACAGCCTATGGAATTCAGGCAAAATATTTTTGCTTGTTCCTCTGAGCCATGGCCTGGGCATTGCATTAGAGGCCTTTCACCAATTCAATCATCAGTTCAACTCTTAAACGGGGTGAAGATCAAGGAAAGGCTGTTTCTTCACAGAAGATCTGTGCTTGCGGGACAGTTCTAACAGTTGTGAGTCCAAAGCTTTCCCTGACCATGTCTGAATTATCCCTCCAGCTTGCAACTATGAACTTGAGCAGGAAATGAGGTATCTAAATTAAAACATGAACCCTCATCTGTCTCTCATTATTTTACTAGTTAGAAAATGAATCTAACGTGAAAACAGCTAAAAATGTAGTAAAGTAGTAAGGTTCTGAGGTTTCATGAATTTGTATGCATAAAACACAAGAAGTGCTTTATAATATTATACAGTGACTGTTCAGTAGTCTGTGTGAAGTGAATTTTCCAGTTTTTGTTCACTTTTGGTTCCAGGGCTCATCACAAATCTCCCTCTTGACAGATGCTGACAAGCACTCCCAGGGCTAGCTTCACCAATCACAGGGAATGAATTGTCCTTCAACATTCAGAGATAGTATTAATTATTAATCAAGGCTCATTGTCAGTGTAGGGGAAACATTTCATATGCTGAACCTGATTACAAGATAAATAGTGGATCTCAGACTCAAGGAATGTCACCTTTGTTCGTATCATCCATGCTAACACCAATTACATTAAAATCTGAGTTGTTTTTGTTCACACAGATAAGGTGCACCCATGTACAAGTGTTGTTTGGGAAGATCCCATCATTTTTTGCCAAGGTTATAGTGAAGTTCCATGGCTGCTCACCTTGATTCTCACCTGTCAAAGAAACTTGTCCTTGAGAAAGAAGGAAAGCTGTAAATATCCTTCTTGGAGAGCAGTATTGTCTTGTAGTTGCAACATTAAGGGTTAAGGATGTCACTGAAAACAGCTAGGCAACTGTTTTGGAGTTTTCATAAGTAGGTGGAGTGCCTAAAAGATTTCTCTAAGCAGTCATGTCACTGAATCTAAGTATTTGTGTATTAGCTCATGTCTTGGTGTGTATTTATACTAAAGTTTTCAGCATCAAAATTGTATCTTATCATATAAGCATGGATGATTCCAGAGCAGGGGAACAGGAAAAAAGCTAAGAAGTAAGTAAAGAATGAGAACACAATAAAGAGCACTTCCCTTCCCAGGAAGGACATCTTTAACAAGGAACTCACCTCTTACATCATCCTACTGGGCTGAACATGGGACATTAAAGAGTCACTCTGAAGTTCATCTCATCTGTATGCTGCGGAAGCACCACAGGAGGATGTGAACACTGTATCTCAACATAGCTAGGGAAATCAGGCTTTTCCTACTGCTAGAAAATACACTAGCAAAAGTAGTAGAAATTAGGTTCAAATATGGTACTTAGACTGGTGTGTCACTTTCTGTCTGCATGACTATCAGTCTTTTTGGTCTCAGTTCCCAAGGGCAGAGACAGCTCTGGTTGCTAAGACGCATAATACATCCAGACAGACAAAAAAAATCACATTGTAACAACACGTCTGGGCAAGGTGAGGCTAACTTGGCCAGCACACCAGCATGCATTATTTAGTAGTGTGCTATTTTCAAAGGCAGGGTGCCACACAGGGTGGTGGCTCCTTAAATTTACTGCCCTGCCTGGCCAGCTATGCTGCCCCCATGCTCCAAAGTATGCTTATTGACACCTACACGTGGTTCAGCACAGAGAGGATTATGGGTAGCTTTCAGAGACAGGGAGACCTTTCACTCTGCATATCCTTCTCCAGCACTGCTGCCACAAAATTAACATTATTTTGGTCCCCACATAATTCTAGGTGTCAGAGAAAACATGAAAACCTCTATAATTAGGAGCTAGGAGGCCACATTCACAGTATGGCAGAAGTGTAGATTCCCAGAATTTAATTATAGCCACCAAGCATCAAGGAAATTATCAAAATCTCTCTAGATTCTTAAATTGGCGTCTGTTACTATAGAGTCTGACACCTGAAGAAAACAGAGAACAAATGTATGGTAATTTCTACTTTTCCATTAATATTAACCTCTGCTTCATTTGTTAAATTCCAGTAGAACATAAAAAGGAGAGTGTAAAAAGCTGATATGTAGGTTAGACATGCCAAGCAAACAGAGAATTCGGGGTATGATGTTCCTGCCTTCATTCTATTGCACAAAATCAGAAGTGATTCATAATATTTGCTGTAAAAATTTTACTTTCTGTAAAAACATCACTAGAGAAGCCAGAAGGAGCAAGACCAATGCTATTTCCAAATTGTGTTCAACGTTATAGGCAAGCACCACTTATTACTAAGGTTGCATATTACTTAGGCTTGCAAGACCTTGTAATTTTTTCCTTTACAGTTTTCCAAATTTTAGCCCTTAGCTGTTTGTCTGAATTGAATTTTTCCATCATGGGCATTTGCTTTGTAAAAAACAAACAAAAAAAAAATTGAATAATTGTCATCCATAATAGTATGTGTTTTCCCGAAAAATTAAAAAAAGGAAAAAATCCTGTCCTTTGTATTAATAGTAAAAATTATTCCTGTGTTTTCTTTGGAAAGCTCACGAACATTTATATTTGAAGAAAGGACTGATTACGATGTGCTGTTGAGTTAAGGGTGTGCCATTTTCCATTCCAAATAAAATCCAACCAAATTTAGCCAGTTTAAAGCTCATTGACAGATCATAGTCCACGTAATGTATTCCATGATGAACATCCATGATCCCTTCAGCTTCTTTCTGCACTGAGCATTCTCCACTTCCTGGATTCACGGGGCTTTCCCAGCAGCTAACAAAAGCTATTCCTGCACTTCCACCCCGCTGAAAAGGAAAACATTCTAGTGAGTTAGCCCAGCAGTCTAGTAATTTGGTCCAGCAGCTACTCTCAGTACAACTGGCAGAGGTCTGTATAGGGGATCTAAAAGTTTAATTTGTGGGCTTAACCCACAGGATACCCAATGCTGAAACACCTATATTTCCACATCACTTATTCAAAATCTAGAAAACGTACACAAGAAACAGAACTAGAAGAACATTATTAACATTGTGACAAGTTAGGAGGTACTGTACTTAAGACACAGACAAGACGGTACTCATTAGAAGAGAAGATGGCCAATACTATGCATTTTGGGAGTGGCCCTGAGCTGTATTTGCTGCACATGAATCAAACTTGCTCTGAAAACTTCTGTTCATTTCCTCATGAGTTTTTTTTTGTACTGTTCATCCTCATGGTATTTGAGGTATTATAGTAACACATTTATTAATAATGTAAATAGAAATTTAATATATGTACATTAGCGTATTCCATTATATTAATGCATTAGCACTTATATGACTGTATTAGCACCAAAACATTTATTTATCTTTATGCTTCCCTCCTGAGGTGAGAATGTAATGATTTATTATCCTTATTTTAATGGTGAATCCTAAAAAGATCAAGGTAAAGGTGTTTCATAACTCGAGGTATCCATTCTGAGATGTCTAAGCACCACGTATATAGAGCACTTATTATTTTATAGTTATGTGAAGTAGTGAAAGCACAGCTCCCATTCACTTCTACTTTGGATCTTGGCACTTAGCAGTTCTGTAAATCAGGCTCCTTTTCTCCCGGAAAGGAAAGGGAATTTTTTTTTTTTTTTTTTTTAAGAACAAATGATGACATCAGTCTAGAAAATAACCTAAGCATTTTGTCTGGATTTTTTCAAACATATTCAACCACAAGCAAAAGCCCATTATAGTTCTGCTGGTCACCATTTGGACACATTATAAGTAACAGTGGTAATGATGAGGAGCTAGGAAATGGTCACAAGAGACCCTCAGCTTTGCATACAATTCTATGATGTTTCAACTTCTAAACCAATACAGCTATTTATGTTAATATTTCTTCAGCTTCTTCACATGCATCCCAGTTGTCAGACAGACCCTAACTTGCTGTAAACTGGAACCGACGAACTTGAAGTAACTGAGTAACAAAGCCCTTTGGTTCTCTATGCTCTCCTGATGTAAAGGAGATGTCTTGCAAATCCAGATATGCCTCAAAAGGGGTACTGTACAACCTGATGAACAAAGGGATAAAAATGAGCCCCCTGAAATTCCTTCCCCAGCAAAGCCAACTGCCAGGCAGAAAGTACCACCTAGCACCACTTCTTCTGCTCCTGGGGAAGATCCCCCCATCTTTAC